GTGGGGACACCCTAACTCCTGCCCCTAGTGACTACAAGGTCAGGGATTAAGCCCCAGGAAACCTGGGCCCAGCCTTGTTGGGGTTTCAAGGGCTCTGCTACTCAGGAGAGTGGAGGGGGAGCCCTCAGGATCAGGGAGCCGTGGGGTAAAGGAAGTGGGAGCGGGGACTCAGATCTTTTCGCTGGTTCATTTCACCGGGGTGTATAGAAGCCAGGAAAGTTCCCCACAAGAGCGGGACCATTCCCCCGCTTACACTAATCTACCCGGCTTATACACCATTTCCTCAAGCCTGTAACTGCCCAGCCAAAGGTGCAGGGGCCCTATACTACCTGGGCCAGAGGTGCCGGGGCTCTGAAGTGCCGGAGCTAAGCCCTGCCAAGCCGTGGCACAAATTACGCCCTGCGAATTGATACTGAGCCAAATCCCATTTTATGCCCCATTAACAAACAAGCCCCAGGAGCAGAAGGATGGGAGCAGAGACAGGCCCCTCTGCAGTCCCATAACAGAGTTCCCACAGGCCGGGGAGCATTTCGGGATGTGGCCACCTTGCTCCTAGTAATGGGGACTTGGCTGCTGACAGCCTCTGGCTAGTGCACAGCAGGGCTGGCAAGAGAGAGAGGGGGAATGCTCCGTAACACACCACTCAGTGGCATCAAGCATCCCTCCCTCCAGCAACATCTGTCTTAACCAGCCCTGTGGCCCGCAGGGCTAGTGGGAACGAGAGGAACTGGAAGGCTCCTAGGTGTGCAGCAGGGAGCCCAAGATGGGATCTCCACTATCCTCATGGGCTCTCAGCTGCCCTTGCCAAAGGCCCCGGCTCCGCTGGAACTCACGTGGGGCTCTGCCTGTCGTCTGGCCAGAGGCAGCAGGGCCTGCTAAGCTGTAGTGCTTGGGCCTTCATCTGCTGCACAGACGAGCAGGCAGACAGGGAGGTAACAGTCAAATTGTGGTTGTTTCCATCCAGTGCAGAGCGGCAGAGTGAGCCAACGTTGGTCCATTTGCCACAGGCACCGACTCCAGAGCAAATGTAGCCGCAGAACAACACAAGTGGGTGCTCAACTCCCCACCCCCCACTCAAAGAGCAGCTGTTTGTCAGAGGGCAGGGGGAGGGTGGAGCAGAGCAGAGGGGGAACCCTTGGGGAAGGGAGCAGGGCTTCAGGGAAGAGCAGAGGTGGAGAACACCCCCCCCAAAGAAGCTGGCATTAGGGCAGCTCCCCAATCACTCACCCACCTTTTGCATGGCTTCCCTGGGGATTTTCTCTGCCCCCACCTATATGCTCTATGGGAGGGAAGGCTGGTGTGTGATTAAAGCACAGAGTAGGACCCAGGTGATCTGGGTTCATTGCCTGATACTGCTACAGACACTCTGGGTGACTTGTGCATGTCACTTATACCCAGGTCCTCACAGGGACTTAGGCACCTAATTACAATTGATTTCCATCAGATATGTGCCTAAATACAATTGAGGATCTGGCTCTAAATCTCTGTGCCTGAGCACCCTACCTTTAAAATGTGGGTGGCTATAAAAGCATGGTCTTCCTCCCCAAAATGTTAAGACATGCTCAGATCCTAGAGGAGCCATGGAAATGCCTAGGTAAATATAAATTAAACAGTCATAAGTCACCAGACCCAGGCTGTATCAACCAAGAAATTGCCGAACTACTGACTCTTATAGGTAACCTATCACTTACATCGGCTTTTGGACCAGGTGACCAGCAGATAGCTAACAAGCCAATTTTTTAAAAAAATTCCAGCGGTGATCCTGGCAATTACAAATCAGAAAGTCTAACTTAAATACCAGGCAAATTGGTTGAAATGTGATAAAGAGCAGAATTACCAGATACATCAATGAACCCATCATGACGGGAAGGGGTTAATACGGCTTTTGCAAAGGACAATCATGCCTCACCATCCCATCTGCTAGAATTCTCTGAGAGGGGCCAGAAAGCATATGGACAAGGATGATCCAGTGAATTCAGTGCTGGGGCTCAAGCAATTTTTTTTAATATTCATAACTAATATGCCAGCACTTGCCACCTTGGAATTTCAGAAAGCCCTTCCCAAAAGCCCTTAAGCAACGGAAGCGATATTGTGATAAGAGGGAAGGGCCTCTCATGGACTGGTATCTGGTTAAAAGACAGGAAACAAAGGGTAGGAATACATATTGGTTTATAAAAAGATAGATTGTCGAGTCCCAACAAGCTGTATTGGGACCAGTGCTGTTCAAAATCTTCATAAATGACCTGGAAAAAGTGGTAAACAGTGAGGTGGCAAAGTTTGCAGATGATACTCAAGATACTTAAGTCCAAAGCTGGCTGCAAAGGGATCTTTCCGAACCAGGAGTCTGGACAACAAAATGGCAGGTGATACCCAATCTTGATAAATGCAAGTAATGCACGTTGGAAAACATGATCCACATACAAAATTCTGGGGGCTAAATTGGTTGTTACCACTGCAGAAAGAGATCTTGAAATCCCATGAAACCTTTTACTCAATGTATAGCAGCAGTCAAAAAGCTAACAATGTTGGGAATAACAAGGAAAGGGATGGATAAGAAGAAAGAAAGAAAGAATCATAATGCCATTGTATACATCTATGGTAAGTCCACATCTTGCATACTGTGTGCAGTTCTGGTCACCCCATCTCAAAAAAGATCTATTAAAATGGAAAAAGTACAGAGATGGTAATAAAGAATATTTGAAACAGCTGCCATAAGAGGAGAATAAGTCTGGTCATCTTGGAAAAGAGATGACTAAAGGGATATCTGATAGCGGTCTATCAAATGATGAATGGTGTGGAGAATGTGACTAAGGAAACGCTAGTTCTCCCTTTTCACAACATAAGAACTAGGGGGTCACCCAATGACATTAAGAGACCTCAGGTTTAAAACAAACAAAAGGAGTACTTCACACCACACACAATCAGTGGAACTCGTTGTCAAAAGATATTGTAAAGGCCTAAAGTTTAACTGGATTCAAAAAAGGAAAAGTTACTGGAGAATAGGTCTATTCATGGAGATGGTCCCTAGATGGTCAGGGACTGACCCCATGTTCCTGAGCCTCCGACTGCCAGAAGCTGGCCTGGATGATCTGTTGATGACCCTGTTCTGTTCATTTTCTCTGAAGCATCTGGCACCGAATACTGGGGGAAGACAGGATATGGGGCGAGATGAGCCACTGATCTGAATCAGTCTGGCCAGTCTTACGTTTTTCTGATGTTCTTCAATTCACAAGCATTCAGGAGAGGGCAAATCAATTGTGGGTTTTTTCTTTTTTCCATTCACCTACCTCACTACAATCAAACCAAAGTCATGGTCAAGGAAGGGAGCCTGTTACCACTATCACAGGAGATGAAGCGGAAGCAAAGCCTACTGAACGAGGCACAAAACACACCCACGAGGCTGACCAAACCAGCCTGTCAGGTGGAACCTGACCACTGGACGCTGTTATCTCTGACCACGCTTCCCTGGAGGAGGCTTGCTGAAAGCTCAGGTGTGAATGTTGCTCTGCTGAGCCAGAGGCAGCAGGCAGATCGGAACAGCAGGTCTTGCTATAGCACTGAGAAAGCGTTGAAGCATCACGCACAGGAAGAGGACAACGATGCTCTCTACTGGCTCCTACCTACCAAAGGGAGAGCACTTCTGGCTCAGCTAGGAGTGATCAGTCCTGCACTGGCGGGGGTCGGGGTAGCTGGGCTTACAGGTTTCCAGTGATTGTCATGCTGAAGAAAGTTGGCTGCTGGCCAGCCCTGGGAAGAACAAACCAGAGGGCAAGTTTCTGCACCCGACCCAGCCTCTTGTGAGACTGGCTCAATGCAGCCATTGCTAGGTTAAGAGGGGGGTTCACGACCTCACGGTGGCAGTTTTGATGATGCAAGTGCCTGGTCTACCAAGCTCATTCACAGGAGTCAGCACCCGGCATCTTGGGAGGGTTAAAGTTGGTTGTTTTGGTCCCTTGCCGTTCCCAAGCGGTGGGAAAGGCCTGACAGTAGGCGCGGGTCTGTGAGACGCTTTGTCTGCATGGATCCCACTGCTGAGATTCATGGGCCCTACCGGTGGAAACCTCATGCACAAATAACTGAAGATCCATCCAGATGAGAAGCTCCTGTCCAATGCCTGTCATGACCTGCAGTCCTGATCTGTCGGGCCTAGGGGACAGGAAACACTAGCCCCGACCCAGCGGTGGGCAACCTGCAGCCGGCCGGGGTTGTGAGTGGCTCATGAGATAGTGCTGCCATTGCCAGATTCTGCTGATTTTCATCCACATCGATTTTTCCTACCGACGTGACCCGCACATAAAGCCAGGGCGTGTGAAGTGAGGAGGGCGCTGACTGTGAGAGCTGCGCGCTCCCCCGCATCCAATCACAATGCTGCCACGGCTCAGTCGCTCCATCCCGCAGCGAGCGGAGCTACCCCATCCCAGGAGACTGCCCTGGCGCCCACAAACTTACAGTCCACTGAGATGAAGGAGGGCCGCTCGTGCAGCTCCCCCACTAGGCTAGGTTGCCCCTCCCAGTCCTGAACTGTTCCACCCCTTTGGAAGCACTTTTGATTGCTGTAGCCTGTGCAATTGCAGGTCTCTGACATGCTCCTGGAGATATCGAAACATACAGCCCAGCCCGTTCACTGCGTAGTCCTGCCTGGCACAAGTGCACTGGACAAGTGTCTGCATCAGTGCAAACAGCAGTGGAAGAGCTGGCAACTGTGCAGACAGGTTACAGGAAACCTACCCACAGCTCGGTGTCAGACAGCAGACTGGCGGTGCCGCACACACTTCCCCCTCCCATCTACCCACCACATGGGGTCAGACGGCTCCCTGAGCACAAGCACCCGCTGAGACAGAGGGCAGCTTATTGTCTTGCAGCACCAAGGGGAGGACACTGCTGTTTATCCCGCTGAGTGTAGCACTTTGAAGGTCCCCAGCGCTTCTGGCCTCCTGGAGGGGAGAAGGTAAACGTATTACCCAGCCGCGGCTACTGCCCTAGCCAGACCCTGTGCTTACCTTCCTGCAGCACCCATGCAAAGCCCTTGGCACCAAAGTCGTTGCAGGTTTGCTCACTGCCAAGCCAAGCCCAGACCTGAGTCGCAAGAACTTGTAGAATAAATTCCCAGTTCAAATGATGGAGCAGAACTTTACCTCCTGCGCAGCCGTGTTCACAGAACAGCCACTCTGAGAAACTCCTCTCCGCTTTATTTCCTGATTTCTCTTTGAGGCTGGGCTGCAGAGGCAGTGCCTTGGAGGTCCTAGTGCCTGCTTTTATGCAGCCAGTTTTAACCAGAGATGATTCAGTCTTCGATGACGCTTTACCCCGAGGTGACTTTAGCCCCCTTGCTGCACAAGTTCACATCCCAACAGAGGAAGTATCAGCAGCTGTCTGATTTGAAACCATGCAGCAGTTTGTGACACCCAAGCAAACTAACAATCAGCTGATATGAAACAGTGAGTTATTGTTCTGCTACTCCCTGTTTTGTGGTGGTGCCCACACAAACGTCCCAGACATTGTGCTCAGCAAGTGACAAAACGAGAATTACTGTGTGGCAGGGGAGATTTTGAACATTTTGGAAGGAAAATGTTCTGGCCCTAGCCCATGGGCGTGCGCAGCACATCTCATTAGGGTGTGCCCCAAATAATCTTTAAAATGTACTTTGACTCCCCTTAGCCACAACCCTGACCCCTGTTAACCACGCCCGACCCCCATGGGCCACAGCTCTGGAGGTAACACTCTGGGGGCAAGATGGACACATGACCAGAAGTAAATGGTGTCATGTGACCCCCCCCCCCCCGCTTTTCCCACCATCCTCCTACCAACAGGGATTAGTTTGGCCCCCACCAAACCCACCTCATGCAACTATCCTGTAGTTGCATTAACCCAATGTGTGTGACATTAACTGCGTTCCTAACTCCTGCCCCCCCTGCCCTCAGCCTTCCTGAGGCCTGCCCCCCTTCCACCAGCCCCCTTCTCCCCCCTGTGCCCACTCCTCCAGTAGCCCCACTCTGATCATGTGAGCTACCCCTCCTCACCCCTCTCTTAACTCCTCCCCTGCCTCTCTCCTCTGGTGCTGGTCCCTCCCCTGCAGGTGTCTGCCCTTCTGCTTCACCCCCCGAATCCCTTGGCACCTGCACCTTCCCTTACCCCTGCACCCTCCTGGTGCCTCCCCCTTCCCTCACTGCCCCTGCCCTCTTTTTCCCTGATGCCCACCCCCTCACCTCCTTCTGCCCCCATTCCCCTCATGCCCCTGAGCCCTCACACATGCCTTGCTCCATCCCCGCCCTTCTCATGCCCACCCCTTCTTTCAAGCCTTCTCCCAGCACCTCCCCCTCCTCACTCTAACCCTCAATGCCCTTACCCTCTCCTCTCCCAGCATCACCCTGTCCCCCCTCCTACTGACACCTCCCCTCCTGCCCCTTTCCTAATTGTCTCCACTTGGCCCCCTGGCATTTGTCTTTCCTCTAACCTGTCCCTTAGTGCTTTCCCCTTTCTTCTCCTGACCTGCCCCCCCTTCCCTCAGCACAAGCCCCTTCCTCTTCCACCTCTTCCTCGTATTTTCCCCCCTTCTCCTCCCCTTCCCTCCCCTCCCCTTCCTTACCTTACCTTCAGTTTCTGCCTTCTGATTCCTGGGGCTGGAGTCTGAGCTGGTCCAAGCTACAGGCTGGCCAGGCCCTAGTCTGGGCGCCTCCAAGGTGCCGCGTGGTGCTGCTGGGCGGGGCGAGGGCGCCTCCAGGGAGCCTCAGTGGGGCCGTGCGGTGCTGCCGGGCTGGGTGGGCGCGTCCCCAGGGCACTGCGTGGTGCTGCTGGGCCGGGCAGGGTGCCTCCGGGGAGCCTCACTGGGGCCGCGCGGTGCTGCCAGGCTGGGGGGGGTGCCCCTGGGTACACAAAGGGCGGTGCTGCCGGGTCTGGGGTGCAAAAATGGCTCAGGCCAGCTGGTGTTTTCGGGCCTCCGCCCCAGCTGCTTCTGGAGCTGGGCCACACGGTTTGAAAGTCCCAGGCCGTGATGTCATGCCACGCCCGGGCATCTTACCTCTTGCGTGGCGTTTGAGCACGTCATGCATGCTCCCTCTCTGCTCCACAGTGCCCTGGTGATGGCTGTGGGGAATTTAAAGTGAGGGGCTGCGGCGCCTCGTCACAAATCCCTCTCCTCCTCCAGCAGCCACTAGCTGGCCGGAGACATTAGGGTGTGCCTGGGCTCACCCCATGCGCACGCCTATGCCCTAGCCCAATCCCCGGTGACCACTTCCATTTTTGTGCCTCAACATCTGTGAAGGGAAAGAATACCGACCTACCTCCTAGGCACAGCATGAGGCACAACTAATGACTGCACAGCACAGACAGAGCCTTACATGACGAGAGCTGTAGAAGTGTAATGCATTAGCCATATGCCGTCACAGCTTGCACCCCCTTTGGGTCAGGATCCCTAAATACCTTCCCCCTTCTATTATCCCTGAAATGAAGATACTCCTGTTACAATACCCTGTATCCTGCCATAGATCCACTGATGTCAGTGGAACAGAGCAATACCAATCCACCCCAGCTGAGCAGCTAGCCCCTGCTGCTTGCAGCACCCTGTGTGATAACAAGCAACCTGCTGCAGTAAATGCATCTGCTGAATATTCTCCACTCTGGCTTACGACATGTCACTGGGGAAATGACTGGAATGGATTTTACAAGGATTTACAAACCAAATTCAGCATGAAGAGGCACTTGGATTTGGTCCGACGTGCAGCATTCATGCTACCATTGGGTTAGAAAGTTGGGAAGGGTTTTTGCAGCCTTTTCATTGCAAGAAAGTGGCAGTGAATGAAAGGGGCAAGGAAGCAGGTTCCTAGCTCTCAGCAAAGCACAACAGTAAATAGTTATAGAAATGTAGCCGCGTTAGTCTGGTGTAGCTGAAACAAAATTTTCTTCCACTATTTGATCTGAGGAAGTGGGTCTGGCCCACGAAAGCTCATCATCTAATAAACCATCTTGTTAGTCTTTAAAGTGCTACATGGTCCTGTTTTTTGTTTCAACAGTAAATAGGACACTGCACACAAATCTAAACCAACCTTCATTAGAGTTTAGACTCCACCATGTCTCTTCAGAGTCCCACCATGAATCACAAACTGACTCATTGCACTGGACTCCAGTATCAGAGGGGGAGCCGTGTTAGTCTGAATCTGCAAAAGTGGCGAGGAGTCCTGTGGCACCTTATAGACTAACTGAAGTGTCGGATGCATGCCTCTGACGAAGTGGGTCTTTGCCCACGAAAGCTCATGCTCCTACACTTCAGTTAGTCTCTAAGGTGCCACAGGACTCCTCGCCGCTTTTGCACTGGACTGTTGATGATGTTACTACATGGTTGCAATAGCACCAAAAAGATGCAACTGAGCTGAAAGCTTCACTGCACTAGGCATTGCATTAAAACAGCAAGAGACTGTCCTTGATTTAAGTAGCCAAAAATTGGGAGAGAAAGGCAGAGCTTTTATCCTTCTTTTACAGCTGGGAAACTGAGGCAGAGAAAGACTAAGAAACTTACCCAATACTGCTCAAAAAGTCAGTAGAAGAGTTGGGCAAGGAACTCCTGTCCAGCAGCTTAGCCACTAGCTTTTCCACGGCATCTCCTCAGCACTAGGTGAATAGTTGCTTAAAAATCTGTGTGGGGAGGGGAATTATGAGAAAGATGACCAAAGGCATGAAGAGGAGAACCAGGACACACCCCAGGTGTAGATACCAGGACACACCCCAGGTGTAGTGGTAGTGATTCTTTAAAAAATCCCCAAGCCTTACAGACTGGAGAAAGCTGCAAATGTTGACATGCCCAGGACAGTCTATCTGTGCAGTTCTGGCCCAAAGGAGTCAACAAACAGAAGTATCAGGGAAGGGACTATGCAGCCCTAGTCTGTGACCCGACCAATCTCCCACTACAGCCCATGGAAAGACTTCTATTGACTTCAATGAGACATTGGCTCTTAAGCAACTAAATCCTTTTTGAAAATGAGATTTATCTCATAAATTGGTTCGCTCTCTGTCAAGGCTGATTCCCCACTCTGGCACGATGAATGCAGAAGTGGGGACCCACAAAAAGTACCCCCAAACCTGATCTCTCCAGAAAATCCTAAAAACCTGGATTTTGGGGATAAAAATCCGCTGCCACCATCAAGTGCTTTTGAACCCACAAACAGGGGTGGACACTTGAAACCAACCCCAGGGCACCCCAAGGTCTTCTCCTCAAAGAGCTTGAAAAAGAAAAGAGAAAATACGAATTGCAGTCTGTGGCTACTATTCCCTAGTGCAGGGGTGGCCAACCAGTTAGACACAGGGGGTATGTCTAGACTACATGGCCTCGTGGGATGAGGTTTACCGGGGCGGTCGACAAATGCCTTTGATGTCGACGGCGGAGCGTCCAGACTAGCGCGCTGAGCCAACAGCTGATCGGCTCAGCG